TGGCCCCCTCCCAAAGTTCCATCCTAAAAGCCAGGGAGCGTTCACTTGGGGTTGCAGGGACTGCCCTGTGACCAGTGACCCCGGAAGCAGCAGCTCCGGACAGCCTTTAGCATGCTGGCGGACCTGGGGTCAGGACAGGACCTGGTGGCAAGGTGGTCCCGGCTCGTGTCTGGAGCCTCAGTGGGAAGAATGGCCTGGTGACCTGAGGGCTGGGGTCAGAATCACCAGGAGCTTTCCTCACTCACTAGTGTGGTGGTGTGGTGGTGGATTCTGGCCATTGCTGCCACCCCCAGCCCCCCGTCATCATCGTTGTCGTCGTCCCCCTCCCACTGCCTCTGCATGGCGCCTCTGCATGGCCCCTCCACGTGGCCTGGGGTTCCTCCCAGCATGGCTGCTGCAGGGTACTAAGGCTCCTTGCATGGCAGCTCAGAGCAACAAAAGCAAGTCCTGGTGGGAAGGTGGGGGCTGTAGGGCCCCTCTGACTGGCCTGGAGGTTGTCAGTCACCTCCACTGACCCCACTGTTCAGGAGTGAGTCACGAGGTGAGCGAGTCAAGGACCCTGCTCCACGAGGCTGTCCCAGAATCTGCGGCTGTGCCGCCCACAGTCCCTGGGTGGAGCAGGAAGACGCTGGATTCCAGTTCTCAGGAAGGGTCCTGGGAGGGGCTCCCTGCCCCCAGGGAAAGCCAGTGGGTGGGTGTGCTCCAGGTGAGCTGAGCACCAGCTCCATCCTGCCTGCCCCCAGGCTCCAGTCCAGAAAGCCCGTTTGCAGCAGCCACACCCAACCCAGCCCCTAATCCCAGGAGAAAGCCTGGGGTGGGCAGGGCACCCTGCAGCCCCAACCCTGGGAGGCCCTCTGAAGAGTCAGGAGGCCTGGATGGCCTGGGCTCACTCCAGGGGGTCCTGTTTGTCCTTCCCCTGGCCAAGGCTCAGCGGATGCAGACACAGACTTGCAACAGATGTGCCACCTGTCACAGGAAGATGAGCATGGAGGAGACATGGAGCACTCAGCACGGGACAGTGCAGGGCACAAGGCACAGGGCATGGGGAGCAGAGCCCACAGCAGGGGCCCAAAGCTGACCAAGCAGGTCCCACCTGCTCCCTGCAGCAGTCTGGCCGCCACACCCACTGAGACCATACCCTGGGCACAGGCCCAAGGCCCCACACGCTCGGCAGCCTGCTCATCCCATCGAGTGTGTCCTGAGGGCCACCAGGACCAGGAGGTCCTAGAATGGGGACACGGCAGAGGGAGCTCAGCCCCTCCCGCCCTCAGACTACTGATCTGGGAGTCCTGTGGCCATGCTGTCTGCTGGAGTGGCTATGTCGCCTCTCCACGTGCCAGAGGGCAGGCTCAAGTGCTGGGTGCAGGAGCAAAAGTCACATCCAGCTGCACTGCTCATCAGTAACAAAGCACAGGATGATTCGTCTATACCTGCACAGGCACCACCAGCTGCCACTGAGGGCTCACCGGAGACGTTTATTTGCCCCCTTCCCAGAACTCCACAACCGTGTGCAACCACGCTGTGTTAGAACACGGACCCCTCCCCGCTGAGAAAGACAGGCCCAGGGAAAGAATACGCGTGACCGGAAGGGTGAGCCGTCCAGGAAGCAACACAAACCTGGGAGAACCCGCAACTTAAGGAGCCAACACCGGGACAATGAATCATTCTCTCCAAGCAAGGAAGAGCAAACAGGCTCCTGCCCCACAGGAAGTCACAAACTGGGGGGCGTCCACTCAGCCACTCCTCTCCTCACAGGCACTCGAGTCACAGCAAGAAGGCGATGCGGGCAGCAGATGACCTGCCCGAGGCCTTGGAAAGCCCACGGTCCCATCATCTCCAGCATGGGCAGCTGCCTGCGTGACCGTGCTCCCAGGACCACCTGTCCGGAGCGGAGTCACTTCCTTGACTCTTCGCCCACCAAAGACAAAGTCCTCTTCCAACCCAGAGTCTGCTAAGAGCTAAGAGCAGAGCAGGTGACGGGCCCTGTGCCACCCGCCCCTCGCGGGGCCGGGCCCTGCAGCCTCCCCAAGCAGGACGCTCATGCTCTGGAGGCAGGAGGGCCCGGGCACCCTGCACCCAGGTCCCAGAGCGGCAGGCCCAGGCTTGGGAGGCCACAGTTTGGCCTAAGGTCACGTGGGGCCATGGCTGGGCCTTCCGAGCAGCCCACCCATGCAGGGAGGGTTCTCCAGGCTGACGGCCCACGAGGGGACTGTAGCCATCTCCACCAGCTTTCTCGCCTTCTCTCCCCTCCCAACACCAAACACACTCAGAAGACCGAATAGCCAATGTTTTGGGTGGAAACGTCACAGGGTTTCCACACTGGCCATGTGGCTTTGAAAGCAACTCCTATCAAGTTGGTATGTGCGGGAAGCTCTGAGGGCAACTCTTCACGGGAACACGTCTATTAATAACGTCAAGCTCCGCAAGCTGGAAAAATAAAGTACCCACCTAACTTTAAGAATAAAGTCAAGACCACCTCCAATGATGCCCACAAAGAAGTCCTAACGTCCACCCGCACGAGCCTGTATGGCCAGGTGCAACAAATCTGCTGGGAAGCATGTCGGGCTGCACGGGAAGCTGGAGGACCCGCCCCCACGTCCATTCTCGTCTCCAGCACTGGGATCCTCAGCGCCCCTGCCCCTGCCTTGGGCTTTCCAAAACTGTGTGGACACCTTGTCCACCCACTGAAAGAGTTTCCTTTTCCCCCCAGCTTTCCTCAGGCCGCCGGGCATCCGGCACGTGGGGCCTCGCACAGAACCATCTGCACCTGGAAACGAGCTCCGTCTTCATCAGTGTTGTTTGCACACACTCTTAACTCCGAGTTCTCTAGGAAAGCTGCTACCGTGTAAATCGAGGGAAATTGTCCTTTGCCGTATGTGGAACTTTATCAAGAACTGCGGCCACTCCTGAGCGTCACAGCACGATGGCAGTGCCCCCGGGGTGTGAGAGACAGACCCACGTTGTTTCAGTCTGAACGGGTAACTCGCAAGGGCAGAGCAACTCTACTCACTGGCATAAGCAACTGACCTCATTTTTCCTTCTATGACCTGACGGTCGTGGCTGAGAATCTAGTTTCAGATATACGTTTTATTAAAATTCTTACCTTTATTTCTCATATTCCTATTAAGGCATTAAGTTGATCTTTTAAACTAGGCATGTAATTAGGTTGTATTTTCTGGAACTTTCATTGCAGACAGTAAGGGAGGCATTATAGGATATTTGTTACAGAGGGAGCCGGAGTCCAAAGGGCTTAGAAGCCCCAGCCCACCCTGACCCCGCCCCCAGGCCTAGCCCTGCCCAGTGGGAGTGGACTGGGGCAGCACTGGCACTGTGGCCACCCGTGGACAGGCTGGGGCGTACACAGCATCACCTCCTGTCACCTTGGACAGAAACCTCCCACACCAGACATGGCTTACGCGGTGGGCGTGCTGCTGAGGTCTCCCGGCAGCCGTCTTTCCCACACGGCCCAGCTCCACCTGAGAGCCAGCGTGAGGCTCAAACGGAGGCGGACCATGGCAGAGAAGGGCTGCCACCCCAGGGTTCCTGCCGGGCCAGCCCAGGTCTGCGTGGAAAGCCACAAACACCACACACGCACTAGCAACACGCACAGAAATCCTCCTGCAGGCGAGTAGGGGCAGCCCAGCCCTGCCGACTTCCCCGGGAGTCCTGATCGCAAGGGGTGCACCGCCCATGCCCACCCTGACAGAGCACCACCGGGCAGCCATGCAGGCCCCAGACAGGGAGGGAGACCTCACGGGAATAAGAGTCCCACACCTAGCCCCATCGTGCCCTCCCTCAAACCTAAAAGACGCACCACGGGATCGTGTCTGAGGAGCGTTGGCGCCAAGGCCAGAAACTGCAGCTCCATTTCCAGGTGTGTTAAAGGTACGGGGTTTCTTCAACCACAACTAACAGCTGAGGCTGCTCCGGCAGCATCCTAGTTACCTGAGAAGTGGGCTCAGGGCTGTGCACTGAGGTCCTTTTCTTACTGAGGGACCTCCTTAGACCCCTGACAGAGAAGGTGTACTCCTAAGTCTGAGGCCACTACACACGCCCGCAGCAGGCACACACAGGGCCAGCCCCTGGGATGTCACCGCTGGTCTACTGCCGACCAGGGACTTTGCTTCTCCATAGAACATGCAGACTGCACAGCCACTCGTGCCTGGCCAGGCCGTGCTCTACACAGCAGGTACACGAGGCTGTGGCCCCAAGGCCACCGCCCTCCTGCTGCTCTGTGGGAGCAGCACGACCAGCAGGGGGACAACGAAGAAGAATGAAGACATCAGGCCCGAGAACCATGCTCAGTTGGCCATTTTAAAAACAAAAGAGATCAAATAACAGTAAAAGAATGCAGAGCACACCCCTGAAGGTCCTAAACCTATGGCCTTGGGGACAATTATAACTGTCTGAACGTGAGGCTTAGGAGATGTGAGATCTCACCCTTTTGAAATTAGTTTTAATATTTCTGCCCAGAAGTTTTAAATCTGAATCGCAAGAACAATGAAAAAACCTCAATCTGTGAAAAGACATATTTTCCTCAAACACCCTCCCTCAGCTGAGACGGGCCAGGAGCTCAGCAGGGCCTCCCTGAGCAGGGCCGTGCCCAGCACCTGCCACTCGGGGCCAAGAGCCCAGCAAACCAAGCCATCGGCTCGGGCAGGTGGGGTTGCTTCAGAAGAGAAGTTTAAAAAACGTATGAGAACTAATTGCTTTAAGCAATGAATAATGAGCAGAGTTAAAAAAAAAAAAAAGGAAACCCACTTTCTCCTTTTAAAACACCAATAATGCCTAAAAAAAGGCGCACAGGGCAAGCGCCTGCCGGAGCCCAGCCTCCTCCGAGGGGAACGCGTGCCTGGCCCCAGGCACCAACTCCATCAGACTCGAGATCCTGTCGACGAAATGCTCGCAGGGCAGCAGCAACGGCTCAGCGAGGCGGCGAGCAGGTCACTGACACCAGGACACACGCAACTTCTTCACTAAAATAACACTAACACAGAAACTAGGAAAAAGGGGATTGATTTATTAAAGAAAAGTCATCTGTGAATTCCTCTACTTAAATTAGTACGCGTGACATTAACACTTTGGGTTAAAACATGCCTTCTCTCAAACAGCAAGCGGACTCTCCAAGCAACGCCTGCGGGTCAATCCCAGCAGCAGTCAAGGCCCAAAGCGACGCTGCGGAGGGCGGCGGCCCCCTGGTTTGTAAACACTGGCAGAGGCCGGACAGGCAGCCTTGCACACTGCCGTCAGCCGGCGCTTTTAAGCAGTAAGATCAAAGCACGAGAACAGCGGGCACCCTGACCATCTGGGCCGGGGCTCTGAGGGTGGGGTCCCCTCCGGCCTGACCCTTCTCCCCTCCCCAGCCCAGCAGAACCAAGGGGTCTTCAGGCTCTTCCCACGACTTGGCTGAGAAGGAAGAAGGGGCCTCCCGGAACCCGCCCCCGCCCCGCCCGGGCAGGCTGCCGGAGCAGCGGAGCAGAGCGAGCGCGGGCCGGCCTACGCGCGGTTGAGGGTCTGGAAGATCCTGGAGATCTGCAGCAGGACGGGGCCCGTCTCCGGGTCGTTCATCCACTGGGTGCTGCTCAGCGGGTTCTCAAGCATGTCTTCAAACGCTGCGGAGAAGAGAGCAAAGCGGGGTGAGGGCAGCTCCCACGCAAGCCCAAAGCAGCGCCTCAGAGGGCCTTTCCTGTCCAACAGCCGCTTCACAAAAATGGCCACGCAGAAGTCCCTCCACGCAACCAGCCAACAGCGCCTGATCTCCTTATCAAATCAGCATCTGAAACCCGAAGGTAGTGTCTTGAGTTCTGACAGGGGTGACACGGCTGTGTGTTCACTGACTCTGGAAAGCAATCTGGCAACTGCTGTGAGGAATCTTCAAACAGTCGCAGCTTGTGGTCAGTAATCCCACTTCCAGTGCTCCCTCACGCACAGTCTGATGCAGAAAGACCTAAGTCTGAAGACACCTGCAAATTGAGTAACGTCTAATTGGAAAAATCAAATCTTAAGGCAAAGACCCTTAAAAAAAAACTAGCCCATTTCTTCAAGGCAAGGGAAAACAGGATTGAAACAAAAAAACAAGCCACTAGTTGGGAAAAAATATTTACAAGTTATTTATCCAACAAAGGGTTAATCTCCATAATATATAAAGAACACACACAGCTCAACAACAAAAAATCAAACAACCCGATCAAAAAATGGGCAGGGGACATGAACAGACATTTCTCCAAAGAAGATATACGGATGGCCAATAGACCCATGAAAAGATGCTCATCATCACTAATCATCACAGAAATGCAAATCAAAACTATACTAAGGTATCACCTTACACCTGCTGGAATGGCAAAAATAACCAAAACAAAAAGTGACAAATGTTGGAGAGGTTGTGGAGAAAAAGGAACCCTCATACACTGCTGGTGGGAATGCAAACTGGTGCAGCCACTATGGAAAACAGTACGGAGATTTCTCAAAAAATTAAAAATAGAAATACCTTATGACCCAGCCATCCCACTACTGGGTATCTATCCAAAGAACCTGAAATCAGCAATCCCAAAAGTCCCATGCACTCTTATGTTCATTGCAGCATTATTTACAATAGCCAAGACGTGGAAGCAACCTAAGTGCCCATCAACTGATGATTGGATAAAGAAAATATGGTGTATATATATACAATGGAATACTACTCAGCCATAAAAAGGATAAAATCGTCCCATTCACAACAACATGGATGGACCTTAAGGGTATTATGTTAAGTGAAATAAGCCAGATAGAGAAAGATGAACTCTGTATGACTCTACTCATAGGTGGAAGTTAAACATAGAGACAGAGAACTGATTGGTGGCTACCAGGGAAAAGGGGGGTGGGGGGAGGGCACGAAGGGTGAAGTGGTGCACCTACAACATGACTAACAATAATGTACAACTGAAATTTCACAAGGTTGTAAACTATCATAATCTTAATAAAAAGTTAAAAAAAAAACCTAGCCTATTAAAAACGTAACCGAGCAGTTCTTTAAAACGAAAACTTTGACTTTCTAGACAGTTTTACAAAATTGTTTCCCCAGCACACAGAGGTGCCTCCTAGCAGAAGGCTCTACAAGCCAAATGCTGGCTGGCACAACGGGCAAGCCGACACAGGGCCACGTGCCCTGCGAAGCAGAGGCAACACCAGACCTTGTCCCAGCAGCACAGCCTCAGTCACGTCAGTGACAGTGGCCCCAGTTTCCAGGCTTCATGGAAGCATTTCCTCAAGGAGCTCATGGCTACTCAGGGTCCCACGCTGACGACCTGGCAAGCCTCCCATCCTTAAGCAATCACGGGGTCCTCCCGGGTAAAGCCCTCTGACAACTAGTTTGCAACATCAGAAAGAGAACCCAGAAAGACAGCTGGGCACATAACACAACGGAACACAAAGTGTGGCAGCAGCATGGGCTTAGTGACCTTCCAGAAGGGCTGTTCCAGAAAGGTGCCGGGAGCCCATGTCCACTTTCGCCAGCAAACAGCACAATAAACTCCAGAAGGAGAAGAGCTGAACAAAAAGACGAGAAAAGCAGTTAAATATGAAAAACTGCACAGACGAATATTTACCCGAAGAGGACTTTCTTCTGCACGTCTTGGCTTGTGAATTAGAAACAAAGGCCACACAAAACAAAAGGGCAAATAAAAGTCTGCAACGTGTGACAAAGGGCAGATATTCTTAACACACAAAGAGTTATTAGCAGAGCTCCAAGATTAATACACCAGTGAAAAACAGACCACAGACAAGACGTGAAAGGAGACGCAGCCAGCCCACAGGCGTGTCCTGGAGGTGACTGGACAGAGGAGCACAGCGGACGCCCCCAGGTCTGTGTGGTGCAGGCTGCGGGAGAGCGCGCAGAGGACAGAGGCCCTGGCAGCAGACACACATGAGAGCAGGCCACCGAGATGCTCATTATCAAGAGTATAAAACGTTCCACGCTGACTCGGTCATTTGACTCCCAGCTATTTATCCTTAGGAAATATGATCTGCAGCCAAAGAAGCAGGCACAAAAATGGTTTACTGCAGCAGTAGGTCCAAAAGCCACAAACTGAAAACCAATTTAAGTGACCAGAAACAGAGGAACAGTATTGTTAACCAGTTGCAGCCTGGCTACAGAATCACATACCTGCACCCGTGGAAAGCTCTTGTTAAAGCAGCAAAGACAGGAGAAGACACATCAGACGTGACGTGAAAAGAACTGGACTGTGGTGTGGGGGCACCATTACACACAGACCCTCAGGAGGAAACCCACCAAGGAGGGGATCAGAGGAGACTTCTGCTTTCTGCCTCATTCTTTCCTGCATTTTCCAAATTTCCTATACAAATATTTTACTTCATCTAAAACGATAAGGGTCACTAAAAAAACCCTATCAGAAACGTCTGAACACAAGCTGGAGAGAGCCCCAGCAGGAGTCAACCTCCGCACCCACAGGTCATGATTCTCCACTACAGGGAGGCCGAGTGCCAGGCCCGAGCGGGGCAGGGCCTGCAGGAGAGGACTCGGCTGGTGAGAGCCCCTCGCCCTGCGCCCCAAGCGTGAGGGCCTGCTGTGCTGCTGCAGGCATGGTGTCGCCCGCCAAGTGCAGCCCAGGCGCCATTCCCCCCATGTGTTTGTTTCAGAAATGCGGGAAGGGCTCAACCTCAGCAAATGTACAGCCACACAACAATCCCCAGAGCGAGGGAAAAAGCAATCAGTAGAACTAACCACCCTTTCATGATGAAAAACCGTAGCTTCTAAACTGGAGGAAAAAGGGAACTTCCTTAATCTGACCAAATATATCTTCAAAAATTTTTTTTAAAAAACCCTACAGCAAATGGCAATCTCAGTGGTAAAGTATTAAAGAAAGCCCCTGGAAGAGCCTGTGGACAGCCCGGGCAGCATGTACTAGCGTCCTGGGGTCCACAGGAGCAGGAGAGACAGGCTGCGCTTTCAGGCAGAAGGGACGCTAAGCGCCTGGCAACGAAGGACGGACATCAACTCCCAGTAAGACACGTCACCCAAGCTCAGAATTCAGTACAAAGAGAAAAATTCTCCCCCTGACACCACACACACACTTCCAGGTAGATTACAGACTTAACAAGAAAAGCAAAACTTTAAAACTTCTAGAAAAAAATAAAGGTGAATGTCTTCCTGACCTTGGGATCGAGGGTTTTCTTTTAGGGATTTATGTCATAAATGAAACAGATAGATTCAACCACATCAAAATAAGGGACTTCTATTCATCGAAGTGAGTCCATAAAGAAACCAGAGACTGAAAAGCAACATCCGAGACACAAACAACTGATAAGGGATCAGTGTGTGGTGCACCTGAAGAACATTCTCAAGGAATGAGAAAAAACAAGTCAACAGACAAGAGGCCAGCAGATGAGGAGGCCTTTCAGAGCTGAGGGTCTATGAGGGGTTGAAACTTCTGGAAGGGGCTGAGCCTTAAAGATGAGTGAAATGGCAAACACCAGAAACACCAGTGCCTGCCAGGGGGCAGTGCCCCACCTGATGTCGGGGCCACTGCTCCCGGGGGGGGGGGGGAAGGAGCACCGAGTGCTGCTGGGGGACGGGTGCAGCCCTTGGGCAGAAGAGGCTCAGCAGGCACATGCCCGGGGTCCCTGCCAGCCTGGCCCCAAGTCACGGCCTGGAGACCCTCCTGTGTGCACCAGGATGGCGCGGGACACCCAGAGCAGCGCTGCACTGAGGAAGCCACGAGGCGGTGCCGCCGGGCAACAGAGCAGAGCCAGTCGTGGTGCAGGCACTTGGCGAGACTCAGCGAGGTCCTTCCCACACTCCGTCCACTTAGACGGAGGCAAGAACCAATGACAGGTCGTCTGGGGACACGGACACAGGCAGCAACACCCCAGGGAGAGAAAGGCATAATAAACACTCAGGCCCAGTCTCTGGAGGGAGGAAGACGCCCGGAGGCCCCAGAGGGCCTGGAATGCTCTAGGCTTTTTTAAGCTGAATGGTAGACCCATGGTGATTAGTTTTATTCTTTTTTTTTTTTTCAAGATTTAATTTTCCTTTTTCTCCCCAAAGCCCCCAGGTACATAGTTGTGTATTTTTAGTTGTGGGTCCTTCTAGTTGTGGTGTGTGGGACGCCACCTCAGCATAGCTTGATGAGCGGTGCCATGTCTGTGCCCAGGATTCCAACTGGCGAAACCCTGGGCCTGAAGCGGAGTGTGCAAACTTAACCACTCGGCCACGGGGTTGGCCCCGGTTTTACGATGATTCTTTAAGGTTACAAAAATAATAAACACTTTTATATGTATGTTATATTTCACAGTCAAAACAAACACCAAAGAAGCCCCTTACAAATAGCAAAAGCAAAAGTCAACCCCAGCTTCTCAGAGGGTCCTAGCCTGCTGGGTGCTGTCTACACTCTCCCAGGCCTGGATAAGCCACTATAACTGGTTTTACAAAGCTCGTATGGAGTCATCCGCACAGGAGGCTGTCAGAGCACAAGCAGAGCCTGATCTCCGGGCCCAACTGTGACTCAGGCAGGAGGCACCCTGGAGGATGCTGCAGTGCAGGTGGGGAGAGCTACGAGGCACGCCGACAGCGACATCACTCAGACATCTGCGTGTGAGGGCGCGGCCCACCCATGAGTAAGCGTAAAGAAGGCACGTACCTAGTAACGTCTTAGGGTTGGTCAGCCCCAGCTGCACAACTGGGTTATCCAGGATAGCTTGAAAGAGAGGGCTGTCGGGGTCGATGCCCTTGTCCAGCTCCTCGGGAGAGGGCTTCCGGTCTCCCAGCAGCCACTCGCACTGCAAATGCAGGAGCAACAGACGGCCATTAGTTCCTCCCGGGACCCACCATCAACATCAGACAGGGAGGCTGAGCACTCCTGGTCAGCCTCAGGGCTGCTCGAACTTAAGGGACCTTAACATCAGAACAGACCCGCTGGACCCAGGTCTGCGCAGGTTAGAACAGGCCAGCACAGGGGAGGAAGTGCTGACCTGGTTTTCTAGCAGGTCCTGGCACCACAGTGATTCAATTTAATGGCTGCAACTTCTCCACTCACTGAATGGGGCCTGCATGATGGCGCAGAATGTTGGGAGGAGAATTAAGAAATGCACTGGAACTTTGTTCCGGGAAGCAACCCTGGGCATGACTGAGCTCCTGCTATGGCCACTCAGTGAGTCCGGAAATGTCTAGCACACAGACACCTCGTATCTGTCTCGTTCACGTGGGCCATCGACTCTACCACCCCCAGGTGGATGTGCCGTCGGCCCACCAAGGCCCTGGCCAGCTGCACTCCGCCCACAGCTGGCGTGTGCACAGAATGGGAGTCAATCTTAGGATTAACTGAACAAAGTAAACAAATTACACTCTCACTCATGGAATATGTACTTTTTCAGAAAGGCAAAACCCAGCACTTTCTCAGTATTTAAAGAATTTTATCTACCCTGCTACTTCACTTGGAAGCGGGGATAACCGACTGCACCTGGCAGGCGGCAGACGCCGGGACTCAGGGCCCGCCCACCGAGGCGGCGAGAGTGGGACCGGGACGGACGGCTACTCACGGCGGCGGTCTGCTGGTTGTTGTTCACTCTGAGGGCATCTATCACCTCCTTTTCGTCGAATCCCATCTCCATCAGGGAAATGACAGCCTAAAGGAGAAGCGCGCAGACCGTTTAATGCTGCTCACTGCGAGCACGGCAGCAGATCCGAGCAGCCAGGCCCTCTGGAGCTCAGCCGCGTTTACCGGACAGCATCTCAGCAGAGGGCGATTTAAAATAACATCACAGGATCTTCTATTTCAAACTCTGCGTCCTTACAGCTTCACTGAACACTTCTTGGTTTTCTGAACAGAGGGACTAAAGCCAGGGAGGCGGAGGGCCGGCCTGCACTTGGCAAGACCAGGAGGTGTCAGGGTCGCAGGTGGCCATGGCCAGGAGCCGCAGACGGGAGCTGAGAGGCTCGCTCACCAAGAGGCTAGGGGGAGGCCAGACTCACTGCAGCTCAACTCCAACCGAAGTGAGACAAAGATGTCATAGTAATTTGTGAAAGATGAAGATTTTCTTCAGGTTTTATCTTAAAAAAAACTAAAATTAATTTTAAACATCTTATATTTAATAAAATTTAAGCTAATTCCTGGAGGGAACAATGACCCAATGTTCAATGTTTGGGGGTGGGGTGCACATTTTCAGGACAAAAATCATATAACTAGATAATATACCCTTTATTCTTGACTTTTATCATACAATCTTTAAAAGGGTCAATTTTGCAAAAAAGGGTAAAGGTTTCATCAAATTTTCAGGCTTCTCTTAATTCTTTGAGGGTCAAATCACGCTTTTGAAGTCCCTAACGTCTCCTTCTTTCTGACGTCTCAGCGTTGTTGACCGGTCTAAGCCTGACAGACCCTCGGGTGTCGGTGCTGCACAGTGACGCGCCCAGCTCCCCAAGCACCCTCTGGTCCGACAAGACACTGCACCTCTGCAGGACCTCTGCAGGACGTCCACTTTCACTCTGCCATCAGTCTGGACTGGACTGTCAGATGTTTCAAAGAGAAGCCAAGAGAAAAGGCAGGCAGCTGGGGGTGGTAATCAGGAAAGACGCTTAACTGGTGCCAAATGGTCCAGCGAGTTGACGGGTCAGTACTGTCTGCTCACGCCCTCTTCCCTCTGCGTTCCTAGGCCACTGCCTAACTCCGACTCCATCAGGGCATGCTGGGAAAAGAACCTATCAGGCGGTGGTTTGATACCAGAGCTGCTAAGAGCACTAGGACCTACTGCTAAATTCAAGAAGAGGGTGGCCTTTTCTGTTAATTTCAATAAAAACTCTCCTCTCTCCTCATTTCTATCTCGGCCCAGGAAATGATGCCTCAATTCCTCCAAAGGATGATGCCCGGGGACACTCCCCCTGCCCTCCTTCCCAGTCTTTGAGGAAAGACCTTCTCATGGGCAGCACCGGGCGGGTCCTCACACTCACAGCTGCAAGACCAAGGGCTCTGCCAGCTCTGCACACTGCATGTTCCTTGTCCTGTCCACAGCTGGTAAGGGGCGGGGGGAGGACAGGGGGCAGCAAAAAGTCTGTCTGAGTCTCAAGTCCAAGCTTTGCCCTTCCCAGGAACCAAGAAACATCTCAATCTTCATGGGACTATTCTCCTCACTGGTCCAGGATCAGAGGGGAGGAGGGCTGATGTCCTGGCCCCAAGGGCTCCACAACCTTTTATAACCATTGTTTTAAGACAAGACATCTACAGGACGTTTCTGCCACAAAGAAGTAAAGGGCAGGGGCCAGCCTGGTGCAGTGGTTAAGTAAGCACGTTCTGCTTCGGCGGCCCAGGGTTCGCCTGTTCGGATCCCGGGTGCAGACAAGGCCCCACATGGCAGGCCATGCTGTGGTGGGCATCCCACATATAAAGTAGAGGAAGATGGGCACGGATGTTAGCTCAGGGCCAGTCTTCCTCAGCAAAAAGAGGAGGATTGACAGCGGTTAGCTCAGGGCTAATCTTCCTCGGCGGGGCGGGGGGAAGAAGTAAAGGGTGATAGACACATATCTTGGTTAATTGAGCACATGAAGACTGTGACCAACTGCACCTGTACAGAAAGGGCTCAGAAGCAACAAAAACCACGAACTAACCAGCAGCAGCCTGATAGGACCACGCAGGACCTCAGAAGGGAGCAGGGGCCTGATGGGACAAACAGGACCCCATAAGGGAGCAGGGCCCTGATAGGACCACATAGGACCCCATAAGGGAGTAGGGGCCTGATGGAATGACACAGGACCCCACAAGGGAGCACGGGGCCTGAGTGGACCACTCAGGACCCCATAAGGGAGTAGAGGTCTGAGGGGACCACTCAGGACCTCATAAGGGAGCACGGAGACTGACAGGACTTCTCAGGACCTGTAAGGGAGCACAGGGCCTGTCTGGACCACTCAGGACCCCATAAGGGAACACGGGGCCTGACGGGACCACTCAGGACCCCATAAGGGAGCACAAGGACTGACGGGACCACTCAGGACCCCATAAGGGAGCACAGGGACTAACGGGACCACTCAGGACCCAATAAGGGAACACAGGGCCTGTCTGGACCACTCAGGACCCCATAAGGGAGCACAGGGACTAACGGGACCACTCAGGACCCCATAAGGGAACACGGGGCCTGACAGGACCACTCAGGACCCCATAAGGGGGCACAGGGACTAACGGGACCACTCAGGACCCAATAAGGGAACACGGGGCCTGACAGCACCACTCAGGACCCCATAAGGGAGCACAGGGACTAACGGGACCACTCAGGACCCCATAAGGGAGCACAGGGCCTGACGGGACCACTCAGGGCCCCATAAGGGAGCACAGGGCCTAACGGGACCACTCAGGACTCCATAAGGGAGCACAGGGACTAACAGGACCACTCAGGACCCCATAAGGGAGCACAGGGACTAACGGGACCACTCAGGACCCCATAAGGGAGCACAGGGACTAACAGGACCACTCAGGACCCCATAAGGGAGCACAGGGACTAACGGGACCACTCAGGACCCACTAAGGGAGCACAGGGCCTGACGGGACCACTCAGGACCCCATAAGGGAGCACGGAGACTAATGGGACCACTCAGGACCCAATAAGGGAGCACAGGGACTGACGGCACAGCACAGGGGTCCCACCCAGGGTTCCAGTACCAGACATGGATTTGGCTCCCTGGGAGACTAAGATTAATGAGACACACTTCCCTCCAGACCTAGAAACACTAGACTAAAATAAAACAGAAATATTTTTAAAAGCATAGCTGAATCCCTAAGAAAGTTAAATGCCCAAGCGACAGAAATAAAAAGGCACAGCAAACCAGCCCGATAAGAGGGTGTGCCCTGGGAGGGGCAGGAGGCATTATCAGGGCCTGGGGTTGGGATCTAACGTCCACACACTGACAGGACATGGACCTTAGGTCCACACGAGCTGGCGAGCTAGAGCTCAACATTAGGACTCTGAAAAAGTGTGCACCCCCGGAGAGAAGAGGAGCTGGAAAAAGCACTGCCTCTGTGCAGGGAAGATCAAGCCCAGCGCCGTGGAGCTACACTTCATGCATGGCCAGGAGCCCTGCCAGGACGGTTAGCATGAAAACCAGCCCCTGGCTGGAGGTCCCGTTCAACCCTGCAGAAGCAAGCTCAGAATCATCCGAGATGGGTACCCCACAACCCGGCCACACGCGGTCCCCGTGGAAACACAAGCCACAGGTAAGCCCACGATGGAGCATCACACCAGAGAAAACCAGGCCACAAGCAGAAGGAGAACACAGGGAATCCAAGCCCTAACACTGGGAGCTCACAGATCTACTATCTGAAAGAAAATGTAGCACACTTAAAATGATGAAAAGTGCCCGAGAAGAAATGAAAACCCTAATAAAAGAACAGAGCGGTGAAGAAAGACTACGAAGATGCAAAAACATCAAAAATGATCTGACAACAGAGAGGCGGCCATAACAGTCTGCACAAATGTCAGCTGGCCAAGCTCAGCCAGGGATGCCCTGCACCCTCGGTCCTTCAGCCCAGATGTCACAGTTACAGGATGGTGAGCAGCCTGACCAGCCTCCCCCATTCCCAAGGCAACCCCACACAGCGCCTGATCCTCCAGGCCGTGGGCGGCACCCAATCAACCCCGCAGCTCAAAGACTGCTGTAACACCGACAGGAACCTAATGCGAGTTTTTCAGGAGATGACAGACCTGTCACCTAATTATTCACAGGAAAATACAGCCGCCTGAATTCAAGTGAGGATAAGTTAAAACTGAACCTGGGAACTCAAGTCTGCCCCCCAGGCCTGACTATAAACTCCTCACTCAGCTTTACGTTCTCCAGGGCGGGGCCCGCTCAGTTTGTGGTCGGGGACAGGGCCCGAGCGTCCTCTGTACAGTGTGGCCTCAAGAGGTTCTAGAAACGGCAACTCTACCTGGCTGGATCCAGGTCCAGGAACACATACCCGAGAGTCAGCCCGAAACTCCCTTTTCCTCCGTATCTTCTTAAAGATTTCCGTCAGCTCATCTCTGGGCTCCTCGTCTCCCGTGCTAGTCCCAGCAGCAGCCTCGGACGCCGCCTCAGCCTCGGCCCCCGCCCCTCCTGACGAGGCTTGGCCTGGAAGAGGTGCGTCTATGGTCGGGTCCTCCGCGTGCTCGATTAGCCACTCCATAGCTTGAGGTACCGACATGCTGAAAGGTAAGGAGAGGCACTTTCCAACTCCCAGGCCGACTAACAAGGGTCTTTTATTCCTCGACGTCCAAGGAAAGCCTCTCAGATTCTAACAACTTTCCAGCGTTAGCTGGTGACCCCTTGTAATGAGCATCTTAATATGGGTGGGCCTGAAGCTCTGGCCCTTGCCCCAAACCACCCCAAGACCCTGGCCGGAACACAGAAACCCACCGACGAAGTAAAGGGAACCCAACCCATGGGGTGCACGTGAGAGCGCAGGTCTGAAGCCAAAAATAAGAGCCCAATGACCATCCTTGGTTTGCAGGTCATTTATTTTAGATCTGAACGCAGACGCGGAGGCAAGTACTAAAAATAAGAACCTGCAGGAGACTACTGAAAGTGACACCACACGTACCCCGGGGTCACCAGTGTCCCTGCCACGAAAAGCCTTCCATTTGCATTCCCATAAAACGACAGCCCGATGAGGATTTACAGAACAATCACTACATGTCAGTTCCCAGTAAGAGTGGAGCGACTTCAAACTGTCCTGGACACTCTGAGGTGCCCAAATGAGTGACTTCCAGGACGTGCACTTCAGGTGCCCCTTTAAAAACTCACACATGTCACAAACGATTCGATCATGAGTTTGAGGTGGAAAGATGTCCCCGATGGGGGAGCCCCACAAGACTAAGCCCCCCAGCATCTGCGGCAAGGGAAGGTGGCCCCGGACGTACTGGTTCAGCCGCAGGGCCTTCACAGCTCTGTTCTCGGGAAAGCCCATCTCGGTGAGCTGCCGCAGAGCTGCCTCATCCACTCGCTCGTCCTCGTCTTCATCCAGCATGGCTGCGGGCGAGACGTGCAGCCGTGAGGGCCCCAGGCAGGCCTGGCCCGCTGGAGGGGTGCTTCCCTGGGCCCCCTTGGAGCTCAAACACTTTGCCTGAGCACCAAACATTCGTGACAGTTCTCTTAAACCTCAGAAAACCTGAGACACAACCATCAGCTCTCACACATATAAACAAGGAATAACGGTATAAGCAGTGCACTGACCCCACGTCAACTGAAAGCAGAAACACAGAGAACTCGGAACTTCTCCAGGTTCACTGCTGAGGGCCCTGGGGGCGGGGAGCTGCAGGCGGGAGCTGACGCGCTCTGAGGCAGGGCGAGCAGCGGGGCCGCACGCAGGGCATGCAATCTACCTGGGGCTCGCTCTTACCATTTGCCTTCTTAAACAATTCGACTGCGTCGGGGTTCAGCGCTAACAACTTTTGTGCCACCTCAATGAGAGACACCAAGATTTTCCGGAGTTCTGTCTGGAACTGCAGTGAAAGAAAAAAACAGGATCTCATTTCTCCAATGCCCAACAAATCCACTTGGATCTGTAACTACACTCCCCGTCCTAAAACTCCAGACCTGTGAGTCAAAACTACGTTGCTTTTCATTCAAGAATGTTGGGGCCAGCCCAGTGGCACAGCAGTTAAGTGCGCATGTTGCGCTTCGGCGGCCTGGGGTTCGCCGGTTCGAAACCCAGGCACAGCCATGGCACGGCTTGTCAAGCCATGCTGTGGCAGGCATCCCACATATAAAGTAGAAGAAGATGGGCATGGATGTTAGCTCAGGGCCAGTCTTCCTCAGCAAAAAGAGAAGGATTAGCAGCAGTTAGCTCAGGGCTAATCTTCCTCAAAAAAAAGAAAGAATGTCAAGATCAGCAGAGGAAGAAGAGGGATTAGACTGGAAGAGAAACACTACGTCTCAGGAGGGGCCTGGAAAGAGGGCAGGAAGGAGAGAGGCTCCTGTTGGCACAGGTGCACTGCGCACACAGGCTCCTGGCTAGCGACAGAGAAAAAAACATCTGGGGACATCGCTCAGCCCTTTATCCAACGAAGAAAGCATCTGGCCCACTGGCAGCAAAGCAAGCGAAGAGCCGTTCTTTGGCTCCGCTGGAGAAAAGCAGACTGATTCGGTGGGCTCCAGAGACACAGGTCTCAAATTCTCGTCTGTCTGCAAGGATGGCTGGCGGGAAGAGTCTGCTGCAGCCAGTTCATCTTCTCAACAGAAAGAGAGGCTGCCGGGAAGGCATCAGAAACCGCCACAGACTGGCTCCCAGCACCAGGGCCGAGAATGGGGACCAATTGTCCCCTCTCCCACAACAAGCCTCAGACCTCCTGTGGGAGACGCCACATCGAGGCAAACACTACAGGCCAGGGAGGCACCTGTGCCAGAGTTCTATGCCCTGGTCACTACAGAACTCTCTGGAAGAGACCCTGAGAGCGGCCTGTGGCTAAAAGGCGGGGCTGTGGCAAAGCTCTCCGATTAGACGGCATCAAGCAGGGGGAGATGGCCCTTCTCCCCCAGCCTGTGTGGCGTGGGCTCCCCAAGTCCTGGACTGGCCCCCAGAGCCTGGAAACAAGCTGCTCTGTTAACTCAGAACATCCCAATCCAAAGTCACTCTGAGCCCGCGTTTCTAGCTAAACTCAGGGCAAAGCTCTACCATTTTCCCAATAGCATCTACCTTTCAGCCCTGCCTTCAGATGTCTTTTTTAAACTTATTTCAAAATAATGTTGGTTTGCAGGAAAGCTGCACATAGGACCCGGGGCCTGCATGCCTCCCTCAGCTCCCCACGTGCTTCTCAGGAACCGCACAGGCCCTGCAGCTGCAACGGCACACCTGTGGCCCTGCGGCCGAGCACTCACGTCTCTCGTGCTGGTCTGGACCGCGGCCCGGTCCATGTTGTAGGAGGGCAGGTTGGCGGTGGCTTGGAGGATAGCATCTCTGTCGGGGGCTTTCTGGTCTTGTTTTTTCTACACAGAAAAGGAACAAGAAAGTCAGAAATGAACGTAAGAGCAATGAGAGGCAGGGTTATGTACACTGAGTAAACAGAACTCTACCCAGGGAGATTCCGTGTCCTCCAGGAGTTGGAGCGGTCCACCCCTGGGCGAGCTGGGAGGGTTCTGTGCACGCCTCCCTCAGGGACAGGAGACTGGACGTGATGCCTGCCGTAACGAGAGTGTGGCAGTGCAGGACGGGGAGACGACGGGCATCACATGGGCATGCAGCTGGGCAGGGCTGAGGCTGACTTCAGGGGAGCCACACCGGCCGGCAGGTAAGCCCAGCTGGAAACAGGTGCTCACCTTTTGCTCCTTCTGGAACCTGCCTGACAGGACAGTAAAGGGATAACATTGGTAGAACTCCCGAGAACAAGAAGAATGCGGGAGGAGACAAAACCAGGAAAGATAGCAACCAACTCTTAGAGACAGAAAACAGACGGGCTCAGCAGAGCCATGAGTGCCATGGCCAGGAGTGTGCGGAGCAGCCAGGCCAGGCCTCTCCACAGCCCCTGGGCGGGGGAGGTGTCAGCGGCACTGGGACAGGAGTGAGTTGTAGGCACCGACAATGGTGTTCCACCACCCTGCTCAGCTGGCAACCACCTGGGAGAAAGCAAAATCGAGAAGCCATGAGCCAGGGACCCCAGGCTCAGCGACAGAAGGAGGCATCATCTGACTCTTGGCAACAAGATGCAGCCATGTGCCACTGAGCTAAGGACAAGGGGCAGGAGAGATGCAGCCAAGGGGCGGGAGGGGCCCTACAGTGAAGCCACCAACAGGCACAACCCCCCAGGCTCAGAGAGTGGCCAGTGAGCGTCCCGTGCCTCTGACGGGGACAGACAGCCAAGGAGCACCAGGGGGGTGAGGAAGGCCTCCCCACAAGAGGCAGCGATCAAAATAAAGAGGCACAGGGGCTGGCCCCGTGGCCGAGTGGTTAAGTTCGTGCGCTCTGCTGCAGGCGGCCCAGTGTTTCGTTGGTTCGAATCCTGGGCACGGACATGGCACTGCTCATCAGACCACGCTGAGGCAGCGTCCCACATGCCACAACTGGAAGGACCCACAATGAAGAATATACAACTATGTACCGGGGGGCTTTGGAGAGAAAAAGGAAAACAATAAAATCTTTTATAAAAAAAATAAAGAGGCACGGACAGGAGAGACATGCAGGGAGAGAAGAATGGTCAAACACCAGACCACACGGCTTCGCCACACTCAGGCAACAGGATGCTACGAAGAGCATCTGAGAACAGAGATCCAGTTGGGAAACTTAAAAATATTATAGCCAGATGAAAAAGGCTGCAGAACAGTCTGAAGATAAAGTCAAGAAAATCTCTCAGAAAGCAGCCCCACATCCAACGAACAGGAGTCCCAGAAAGAGAAAAGAGAAAACGAGGGGAGGAAATTATCCAAGAACAATCCAGAAAAACTTCCAGAACCAAAACATGTGACTTCACCGTGAAGGGAAGACCTGCATCAAGGCAAACTGCAGAACCCCGAACTCTAAAGAGCACCAGGGGACCCCGAAAGATCCCAGGGGGAGGGGAAGAGGAAACAGACCACGGACAGGGCAAGGGGAACGAGCCGACCCTGGGGAAGCCACGGAGATGGGGACCAACGCCTTCGTCACGCACAGCACACAGCTAACGCTCACGCACAGACACTGAACGCTGGAATGCGCGGCCTCCAGAGCTACCTCCCCTCCTAGGTGCTGGAGGAAGGCAGGCTCCCCCAAACCAGGGAGACAAGTAAGGCAAGACACTCCATTCTGCAGGAGGGAGCAGTGCCCCAAGCCCCCGCCCGTGACAGTCCCCGGGTCCTGAGCAGGGCAGACTGCCCTCTGCACTTAGATCGTGTCATAGGGCACAGCCAACTTTACGAAAGGACACCTCGGGAGGCCTGACTCAATCAAGTGAACTCTTACAAAGGATGGGGCTCTTTCGGGCTAGAGAGATCCAACACGGGAGAAATCCTGGTGCTGGTTCTGAAGACGCAGGGGACCGTGTGACAAGGAAAGTGGTGGCCTCCAGGAGCAGCCAACAAGAAAACAGGCCCTCTGCCCTTCAAGTGCAGGAATGGGGCTCTGCTGACCACCTGAGGGGCCCGAGGCAGACCCCCAGCGTCTCCAGAGAGCAACACAGACCTTGATCTCAACTCTGGAAACCCCAAGTGCAGGGCCAGCTGAGCCCACACACTGCAGCCGACAGACCTGCAGGCTGAGGGCTGTTTAAGCCGGAAAGTCTGTGATAACATGTCAGGCAGCAACAGGAAATGTACACAGACTTAGAAGATTTAGAAGGTTCCACCCCAGGAGAGGGGCAGGGAAGCCCACACTGAGCAACAGGCCTGGAGGCAACAGAAGCAGAGGCACGCGCCGGAGGAACTGGAGGGACGCCTCCAGGAAAGCAGGAAGGGGAAGGCGGCCTCGTACATGTGACCCCATTTCCAGAGGGATTTATCAATTCTGGTGAAAAATTTGAAAAAATGAGCAATAAGCCTATTGAAAACAAAACAATGAGGCAATTACTGACTCCAAGAAAAAGAAACTTGTATGAAACAAGGATAGATGATTTTAGTACACTTTCCTCACAGCCAAAAACACTCACAAAATGATAGTAATGGTAACTCTGACATCTTCTTCAACCAACATCACGATCTAACAGTCATGCGGGGAGAGAGGGTGGGAGGGCTGGGGGAGGGGCTGTGCCCAGATCATCAGGAAGCCGACAGAGTCTGACACGGATAATCCAAGAAATAACAATATATGCGTGTTGTTTAGAGATCAGAGGGAGGATTACTGAAGAAACAGGGAAAAGAGCTATGCAAGGTCGCCTTTATGGGGCATTACTCAGGTGGGATAGGAGGCTACTCATTTTTATTAAAAAATTTGTAGTTTTATTTGCGTTTTTCAATAAATGTGTTACTTTCACTTAAAAATTAATAATAATTTGGGGCCGGCCTGGTGGCACAGCGGTGAAGTTTGCGCCCTCCGCTTCAGCTGCCCAGGGTTCACAGGTTCAGACCCTGGGCGCAGACCTATACACTCCTCATTAACCCATGCTGTGGCAGCATCCCACATACAATAGAGGGAGATGGGCACAGATGTTGGCTCAGCAACAATCTTCCTCAAGCAAAAAGAGGATGATTGGCAACAGATGTTAGCTCAGGGCCAATCTTCCTCACCAAAATAATAATAATAATTCACAAAAACAGGCATTAACATCTCACAATGTTTCATTTTGCAAATACGTACAGAGAAAAGGTGAGCAGCCAAGTGAAGCCTGCAGCACCCTGCAAGTTAAGGAGCCACAGTGACGGAGGGGACCACCATTTATATAACTGTAACTTGAGAGCTACGATCCGCCCGCCCGCAGTTCTCAGAAGCGGCCTGACTCAGGCCCAGATCTGGCTGCTGGAGATTGGGTGAGCAGCTTGCCCGCGTGCGTGCCCGTGCTGTGGCCAGGTGTGGCCACAGATAAGAAGGCAACCAAGCCCAAAGGCACTCCTCCCATGCCACTTGTCCCAGAGAAGACCCTAAAATAGCTCGTTCCACCATCAGGCCCATGGCCCAGGGCCAGAGTTTGGCCTGTTTTCTCTGGGGTGAATGCTCTTCCTAGCATTTCAAAGCATGAGCAAGAAACTCTTCCCCCTTGAGATAAGCAAAGAAAAAACTGAAATTAATGTGGCTGCCCCTTTAAAACAGTAACGCTGGTCTGCACCTGGGCACAGGCACGAGATCTGGCGCAAGAGAAGAGCGAGGCCACTCACAGACAAACCCTGCACTGTGCACTGAGCCTTCCAGACCAAGCTTTCTGGAGCCGGGCTTCTGGGGTAGCCATTAAACAAACAACAAAGCACACGGTTTCCCTACGGCACCTACATCCGTGGGAAGACGCAGACAAACGCAAACTCCAGGGGACATCCAACTCTGTCCCGAAGAGCCAGATGGGACAGGCAACCCGGCCTCCCTGGGAATTACTCAGTGAGGGCGACGCTCCAGGCGAGGCGCAGAGTGCCCTCCGTCACCCCTCTGCAGGCATCTTCCTGGTTTCCTGGGGTGGTCTTGATCAAGTTTCTGACCTCGTTCTGTCAGGACTTGCTTGAGGAGAGGGGGACAGCAGCTTGAGAGTTAAACCCTCCCTCGTGAACGTGCCGGCTCTCTCCTCTGCAGCTGGGAAAGCAGAGCGAGGCTTCTGTGTGTGCCGGACGCTCACCCAGCAGCCAGGATGGGCGGTGGTCAAGGGGCTCAGCCTCAAGTGAAACCCCCAGAAACCCTCTCTCCTGTAACTACGGGACCATGCTGGGTCTGTGAACCAGGAGACAGACGCCTCTTCTTAACAGCCTTAATTAACGTGGAAGGCTGTCACTAACAAAGATGACCAGTGCCAAACTCTGACACTTACCTTTTCTTCTGCGGAGACATCAGCCATCTTAGGAAGTGGAGTTGGAGCACGTTTCTTTATCAACAACAAGACATCTAGGGAAAAAAGTATGTCTATGAAGCTGGGTACCATCTCACCTCCATAAAATGGCATAAAGGATGCTACGTGACCCGGGCAGAGAAACAAGGGTCCCCCAGTGCCTCCCACACAAGCCTACCCTTCTCTCAGTCTTCATGTCTGCATGCCCCTGCTCACGTACAGGGGCTCCCAAGCCTGCAAGGACCTGGCTGTGGGTCACCAGAGGTGACTGGTGGCCCAGGAGGCAGACACAGCCCAGCCCTGACAACTGTGCAAAGAACTGGTGGAAATCTTGCAAAACGTTCTCATTTCTGAAAGTCTGTGAGGTTGGAGTTTGGTCTTCACCCTCAGAGCTGAACACCTGGGGTGTGGTGACACCACAGTCCACAGTGCTGGTGAGCTCCACCTTGTTCTCAGCTTGACCCTCACACTCAACAGAGGTCTGTACACACTACTTCCAATATTTTCAAAATATTATTTAAGGGAATCCCAGAATTAAAATTGTCCTTTGAATGACTTGTAGAAAACCAAGGTTTTCTCCCCAAGCACCTCCAGACATAAAATGCTACGTGACTAAAGGAATGTGCGGACAGTAAGCATGTCGAGGGCATCCGAAAGCAGCACCACAACTGGGCTCTCCAGCCCACAAACAAAACCCGCAGTGGCTCTGGAGGCCTTGGTTTCACTCCAAAACACAATTAAGAATAAAGTTCACGTTTGGATTCTCAGATGGATGCTGCTTGCTCAATTTCAGTTTCTGCTGTTTTCCAGGAGTAATCCATATGTGCACCTTATTTAACACAGGAAAACGAAACCATTTCAGCCAAGCCACTTTTCTCACTCAGACCCAGCCCAGAACACGGGCGTCCACATGGAGGCACCTCCGCCTCTTGGCCCAGCCCCGCACCGGCCCCCACCGCTGCCCGGGGGCCCTTACCTTTGTCTTGAATGCACTCCTCCAGGATGGTCTTGGAGTCACTCAGCACCCTCTCAGACGCAGCATGGATTAATTTGTGATGGGTCACACTCTTGGGGTCTTCTAAACTCCCGTGAGCACACTAGGGGAAAAACCATTTATTTCAAGACAGGAAATAAATGAACTGTAACACTAATAATATAAAACCTGACACCCAGGCCACACCAGGAATTTACTGCTTTTTCTTACTAGCTAAGAAATTAAGGCATAGATGACATCAAAGAATCCCTGTAGACGGTGGAAGCCAAACGACATGCACAACACCGATCCCCGAGGGCGGCGATCTGTCCCCCAACCCACTAAGCACTCATGGACAGGGTCACAGCTCTGACATAAAATACCCTGCTGCAACTGTGCAACCTGAATCGCTTTCCTCGCCTGGAAAGGCCTGGAGAGCAATTTAAAAATGAAAAGACCAGGCCCGTTGTTTCCCAAAAATCTAAAGATCTAGATGTGATTTCTGCACTTGTTTTTCTTCCTTCCACAGACACATGAAACGGAGCTGAGAAATAAGCAAAGCGAGAAGGCTGGGCCAAAAAGAGCAAGAAACAGGGGCCTGACCATTCAAACGTCCACAGACCCCAAGAAGACACAACTAGCCTCAGCTCAACCCCCTGCCCACCAAGCGACGGTCACAGAGACCCCAAAGCCAGCTCCAGATGCCACTGGCTCCCCTCCTGGGAGCTCAAGGGGGAGCGACTGGCACACAGTTGTGCCTCACTGACCGGGGCCCTAGAAACTCCAGACCGGGGACGGGCACCGCGTCCTCAGCCACGTGTGAAAGGCGTGCGAGGCAGTAGAGGGCAGGACGGAACCAGCGGCGCACTCCCCAACACACGCACGCTCCTCGTGGCTGCTCTCCCCGACCCCAGGGGCACCCACCTCAACGGCTACTGACTTCCAACTCCAGAAGGGAGCCCGAGCAGAGGCCCCATAGACCCCAGCCAACCCTGTCGTCAACATCTAAAGATCGCAGGCGAACTACAGACACTGATCATCATTTCAATCAGGGTTGTCTGCAAAACAACACAAAACATGCACAATGCTGTGGCTACGTGCATGTCACTGGATGACGGGTTCTGCCTTCCTTTGCTTGCACGAGGCTTTCTGATCGCCAAGCAGCTTACCATTTTGTGAAGAGCGAGCAAATGCTGACACCCCAGGTGGTGAAGAGTCAGGGGAGCACACTGTGCCGGCTCGTTCATGCGCTGTGCATGCTCACCTGTCTTCACCCTGCTGTCCGCTTCAGCACCTACGGTGTGCACAACCCCACATACACAGCACACCAGACAAGGGCACCCACCTAATCAACTGTGGCCCCTCCCCCTGAGCCAGAATCTGGGGGTGAGGGGAGTGGGGTCACACCTGAACACCTCGGTAGAATCCACAGATGCTTCTATAGCCCGGGCTGAAAACCCCACAACTCAGAGGAGAGCCGTAACTGTCCCCTGGCTCCTGCTGACTCCCCGACGATATCAGATGGTGGAGTCAAGTGAGGACCAGGAATGCAGCAGCCTGGCCAACAGCTCCCTGGGTGCTCTCTCGACACCTGTGGGTGGCAGCACCAGCCAGGCGCGAGGGAGGCTGTGGCAACACTCAGGACGTGCCCACCGCAAGGCCCCAGCGTCAGGGTCCTCGCGGCCTTCCTTGGGTCAAGCAGGACTCCCTCTCGAGCAGCTCGGCAGGCCCCACTGGCGGATTCCTCACCACCTCCCTCCGCCACCATGGAGACTCAAAGATACGCAGCACACACACTGCATACCAGAAAAGAAGGAAAGATCTAAGTATGTACTTCACCTCACCTCTCAACACTTGCATTTTAAGAGTAAGTAGAATTTTCGGTAATCTAACACTGAAAACAGGAAAAGAAGATCATGAAGCTTTCAGGGGTCGTCAGACATGCCCACAAAACTGGTGAGGCTGGGGGTGGCGGGAAGGTGGAATTCAGCCAACGTAAGGTTCACTGTCACCACTCAGGACGGAGCAGAGAAACGCCACCCCCGTATCCCCTGAATCCGACTCTGGCTCTGCTCCCAGAATACTGCTGCGCTGCTTCTAACTCTGACATTGGCAGGCTAGCTGATCTGCCAAGCTCAGGATACAGTCTATGAAACACAATACCGCTTCCTAAAAACACTGAACTCCGAGGCGTGTCGACTGGGTGCCAGGAGCAGAACCCAAGCATGAGTCACCCCACTGCAGGACGACTTCGCTCGACTCTGTTCTCACCATGCTGGGGGTGGCAGCAACAAGCCCAACGAGGCCCAGCGCCAGAGCAGGGAGCCTCTGACCCCGCCCAAGCCCGCCTCCTCCCAGAGACGCGCAGCAGTGGGTCCTCTTACACTCAATGGAATCTGTCATCTGAAGACACGCCTTCACATGACCTAAGAAATGTTAAGAGCCACCTGGCAGGTATCATGTTCCATCTGGCCATTTCATGAACTCGCACCATACAGAAACCACCCCACCGCATCACAGGTGTAACTTTCTTAAGCTCATTAACCTCCTCTTATACAAGACGGTTGACTCCGCCCATTCCCACTCCCGGGCAACAGGGGCTGGAGACCACCATGGCGACCCCAATCCGCATAAAACCAAAAGGCCAGGCAACAAAGGCAACCCACTTCTTTAGGAGTCATGATAATAAAACCCCCTTTAAGAAAGTAATCCACTCCCAGGAGTACTGGGGAGGAAAGAACCCCACATTGTCCCCTCAAGGTAGAGGGGAAAGACGAAGGAAAAAACAAAGCCAGCTTAGCACACATCAGGGGAGCCTGCGGAGGAGGAACAAGCTCAGACATCCACGCAGGCCGCACCGTCTGCAGCAGGGACTGGTTTCCAGGGTGACATTCAAGCACCCAACTTGAGAATTCTCTTTCCTAAGTAACGCATTCTGCCAGCTCAAGTGGAAGCGCACTCTGCCTACAGAATGGCATGGGCGCCGAGGCGGGAATACTTTCTGATGACTTCTGGTTCCCAAGTCCCATAATTTATGTCAGCTTTTTGGGTGTGAAAGTCCCCTGCTGATCGGATCCTCTACACCTGGAGAGACTGCAGAGTGGAATAAAATCTCAATTTAAAGTAGGATAATGCACCCAAAGTTCCCAAATGATACATCTTAATACTGACTGGAATACTAAATATCGGGAACACAATAATTAGCATCACACCAAAACTGGCTGCCTAATGAACCTCCAGTGCTCCCAAAATTCATTAGCAAGCATCTGCGGATCAATCAAACAGTTCTCACTTCCTCTTCCTCTTCATAAAATAATATTATGATAGTCATGTAAATCCATACTATTAGTGAGTTAATCTAAATACTACACTAATTTACCCACTGACTTCTCCCTGCTCGCCTCAGCAGATGACATGCCACGTCCATGTAGCTCTGAATCAGCAACCCATCTATTCTGTTAACCCACACGTTAGTTTTGACCCCACTACAAGCCTGGCCCTGGATGTGTGGATACAAACCCAGCCCTCAGGAACTCCCGCCCTGGGGAGGGGAGAACACGGAATCTCAGGCAGGTTTTTAAACAACATGCGACAACTAGACAAGCTGCAGTGCCTGGCTCTCAGTCGACACGCCCACAGAGCCCCCGCCTTCCAGACGGCAAAATCACACCACCTAGGTCAGAGGAAAACAAAAGTGGCCAAAACACAGCTGCTCCTCCAGTGTGTGAGCCCAGGGCCCCCTCCTCCTTGGTGTATCACTGAGGCCAAGGCAGCACTGGTATTCACATCCTGCTGTTCCAGAAGGGGGCCAGCTCTCACAATCAGATCGCTCTCTGGCCAGCCCCGGACCCCGGACAGCTACACAACAACTCCATGGAACCATACTCACAAAAGTGACTCAGAAGGATTTGTGGGTAGTTACTGTAACTGGAAGTTTATCCTTGGAGAGCACACTTAGGTTTATTTTAACAGCACACCTTATCACAAATACAGATAGCTAATTTATCACACTAAACATATAACATCGCACTAAAGGACTGTGGCCTCCTCTAACCTAAACTCTGACAAGGAAACAGCACATCATGCCAAGTACAGAGCTTCCTTAGGCAGCTGGAGGCAGCCAGACAGAAGTTTTAGCCCGCCTTACAAAGTCGAGAGGTTACAGAGATGAAGCCATCAAGAACTAGTTCCAAAAATCAGCGACCTAAAGAACTAACTCTAGGAGGAGTATTTCACGTGAATAGACTTTAAACAGTGGCTCTCTCAGGAGGAGCCCCCCTCCTGGACCTACCCACTGAGTCAGTTTCGAGGCCGCGGGCGGGCTAGCAGGGGCGCCGGGACGGCCCGCAGCGGCACTGTCTTAAGGGATTCCAGCTAAGAGGCCCAGGGCCAGAGCTCGTGTCGGCCCACACGCCCGCCGGCAGGAGACAGCTCCGACGCCGGCTGTGCAGGGAAAGGTGAAGGAAGGGACCTTCTCCCGCGGGCATTCGGGGGCCTGCTGAAAAACCCAGAACCTCACCCCCAACAGCCGGTACACACAAGCAGGGGAACACCAGGAGGCCTCGCTCCCCGCGGCGGCTTCGCCTCTCCGAGCCTCAGTTTCCCGATCCGCCCTCCCCCCAGGGCGGCCGTGGAAGTTGAAGGAGAGGACGGCGTGCAAAGTGGTCGGCCGGGAGGTGGCGCGGGGAGCAGCGTCCAGGAGCGCTGGGGTCGGGCAGGGGTGGTGGGAGACGGGCGGGAGGCGCTGCCCGGCCCCGGCGGAGGGACGGACGGACGGGGGTGACGGAGGCCGGGGCGCGGCCGGCCTTACGTGCTTGAGGCAGCGCTCCTTGAGCTGCTCCACCGTGCTGTCCTCGGTCACCTCCTCCAGCCACTCGGCGCCGTCGAACGCACAGATGTGCAGCCGCAGCACCTTGCCCGCGAAGATCTTCTCCTCCTGCACGAACATCGCGCCGCCGCCGCCGCCGCCGCCAGGGCCTGCGCCCGCCGCCCGGGCCGTGAAGGTCACCGGGGCGGGCGGGCAGGCGGGCGGGGCGGGGGCGGGGCCAGGCCGCCCGCGCTCTCCCTCGCTGGCCGCCGCCGCCCCGCCCCGGCCCCGTCGGCCGGCCGCCCGTCACTCGCCGCGGCCTGAGCGGTCGCCTGGTGCCGCCGCCGAGCCGCCGGGGGCGCGCTGTCGCCGCCGCGCCGGAAGTGCGTCCCAGGGCGCGCCCGAGGCATGCCGGGAGATGTGGTTCCTCCCCTGCCGCCTCGCTCCCGCCGCGGCGCAGAAAGTGCGTCACAGGGCGCGACCGGAGCATGCCGGGAGATGTAGTTCTCTGGTTGTTCCCTTCCTGCCGCTGTTGGCACCTGGGGGCGACTAGCCACGCGGGACCGTTGAGCTGCTAGTCGTTTTGGGATGGGCGCTCAGTGTAAATACACACCGAATCCCTCAGGGTTAGCAGGAAAAAAGAATGTAAAATATCCCAATAAGATTTTTATATTGATTACATGTTGAAATAATTGTTTGGGTGTATTGTAAATGTGTATTATGTATTTGGGAGTATTAAGTAAAATATAATGAAATTGACTTCACCTGTTTGTTTTTACCTTTTAATGAAGTGGCCGCTAGAAATGTTTAATTGTATATGTGGCTGCTATTGTGTTTCCTTTGGGCTGCGCTGCTCTGGAGCAGTTTCTCAAAGTGCGGTCCCCAGACCAGCCGCAGCAGCAGCCCCTGGGACCCTGGTAGAAATGCGGGTTCTCCCCGGCACCCCAAGCCTCGCTATCAGAGACAAGTGGGGTGGGACCAGCACTCGGGCTGCAGAACTGATGAAGGACACTTAGGGGAGCTGGTGGGCACCTGGAAGGAAGGAAGCTGTCCCGTGAGATGCCATGCACCCCTCTCCTGTAGGGGTGGCGACTATGAATGCTGCTGTTGGGGCAGGACCGAGACCTGGTGACTGACCGCACTCCCGAGTTTCGTTCATTCCTAAAAGCTTTGCTGAGCAGAGGTGGTTACAGGCGGTTCCTGTTCTCGAGGCTGGGCATCTGCATGAGGAGGTGGTGCCAGCGTCTCCCACCCACAGGCCGCTCTCCACACCGTTTTGTAAACATGTCCTCATTTTCCTCCATGATCATTCCAATCATGTCCGAATTCAGTTTGTCCGGTCTTGAGTTCACTAATTGCCTCCATGGGCCAGACCCTGGGCTACTCACTGAAAACATAGTAACAATTCAGGCTGGTCCTGAGAATGGGGGTTCTCATGCAGGAGATGGAAGTGCTGACTGTTGAGCCGATGTGATCTCACAGGGCAGGAGAACCCGGGCCAGCAGGGCCGGGAGGGGGTAGTACCAGGGAGGCCTATGGGACACAATGACACAGGAGGGCTGAGGAGGAGTTAGAAATGGGAGCAGGGGCTGGCCCCGTGACCGAGTGGTTAAGTTCACGTGCTCCGCTGCAGGCGGCCCAGTGTGTCGTTGGTTCGAATCCTGGGCGTGGACATGGCACTGCTCATCAAACCACGCTGAGGCAGCGTCCCACATGCCACAACTAGAAGGACCCACAACGAAGAATATACAACTATGTACCAGGGGCCTTTGGGGAGAAAAAGGAAAAAAGTAAAATCTGTAAAAAAAAATAAGAAAAAGGGAGCAAAGGATGTGGGAAAGGATGGAGCAGCATGTGAAGTGCTGCTGGACAGAGTCGGGAGGGGAGGGGGAAGGAGGAGAGAGGGGAGAGAAAGGAGAGGAGAGAAGGGAGGGAAGAGGAAGGGAGAGAAGGGAGAGGAGAGAAGAGGGGAGAGGGGAGGGGTGGAAAGGAAGGGAGGAGAGGAGGGAGGGGCCGAGTGGAGCCGGGTCAGAGGAAGCCCCAGTAGAGCACCTGGACTTGGTTGTGGGGCCACGGGGAGCTGCGGTGCTCGCGGCGGTGACTGGCCGTGCCTGGGGAGGGAGGAGGACCCGAGCCAGCCCGGAAGCAGGAGAAAGTCAAGGAGCTCCTGCCTGAGTGAAGACAGAGGCAGGTGAGGCGGGAAGCGAGCGGGTTTGGGAACGCCTCTGACCGAGGGCAGGTGTAAATGAGAACAAAATCAAGGATGACATGAACCCCTCCAGCTTGGGTGGCAGGGCACACGGCAGTGCCACCACCTGAAGGAAGAGGACAGGAGGTGGAGGAGAAGATGGGCTGGGAAAGGTGCTGAGCTCTGTACGTGTGACCTGGGGGTGCAGGGGGCATCCGAGTGGACGTGGCCGGGAGGCGGTGGAAAGCCCAGGGCTGAAGTCCAGGAGAGAGGCCTGGGCTAGAGACAAAGACTGGGCAGCTGTCACCACATCAGCTGTGGCTGGAACTATGGTGCTGCCCACCCTCCACCCCCTTTACACAGAGGAGCCCATGGAGAAATCTGAGGAAAAATAGTACCAGAAAGTTCTAAGAGCATGGCCCTGTGAAGTTCAAAGCGGGGATTTCAAAAAGGAGAAAATGAAAACCGTGGGAGAACTGGAAAAGCCACTCATCCTCTCAGAGAGCATGACTTCAGGGGTCGGATGTGGGCAGGTGCAGCCCCAATGGTAGAATCATCTAGAAGGGGCTCCTCGGAGTGTCCCAGATCCTGTTGGCATCATCGGCCTCAGTTGTTCCAGTGTTGTCCTTCTTGGTATGTGGGCCGAGGGCCCAGGAGCCCCCTTCCCTTCGCTATGTCAGTAATAAGCTGTCTGAATCTGAAAGCAGCTCCCTGTTCCTTTATCAGCCTTGTCAGTCAAGCCTGGCCTTGGCCTCGCCTCGTCTTGTGTGCCCAGCCCAGCGCTCTCCATCCGCTAAGATTCCCCACTGACTTATGGCTGCCTGTGCGAACATAGCCTGTTCCCTAGAGCTCAAGGCCTCCTTCTCCAGGAAGACCACCCTGGTTGCGCCTTCTCTGGGCCACCAAGCGGCACATGGTGCATTGCCCACCCCTCTAACGGCCAACCGCATAGCCAGAGTAGACCCCTGCAGACTGGACGTCCTTGCAGCGTGTTTCCGAGGAGACCAGATGTAAATAAGCAGTCTCCCATCATGGCAGCTCTCCTCAGGGCAGAGGCCAGTCAGCGACAGTCCTCCTCCGACCTCCCTCCACCCCCGGGAATGCAGGAGGAGCTGGCAAGCTGCCCCAGAGGGCCTGGGACAGTGGCTCCCCCTCCCGGGAGCAGTGACGGGGGCTGTCCTAGGATCCCTGGGGCGAGGGGGCCACTCTGTCCCTGAGAGACCTCGAGGGCTCCTCCTTCTGTGAGCCTCCGCTTCCCCTTCTCTGTGAGGGCTGGGCTTCCGTGTGGACACGGAGAGGGCCCCCTTCAAGGGGGGACCTGCGCCCGGCTGTGGGGAGCGGTCAGCAGCCCCTCGACCCCGGGTCAGCCCCTCTGCCCGGGCCTCAGCGCAGAGAGCTGCCTCCCGAGGTGACACCCAGAGGCCCCATCCGGCAGCCTGCACCCAGATCAGCTTCCCCCCGGCCCGGCCCGCTGCCTCGTACTCCCAGGCCCACCGGTGCTGGTCCCTAAGCACTTCGTGCCCCGAGAACTCGGCTCGGCCTCTGCTCCCAAGACCCAGACATGGTGCGCCAGCCTGGGGTGGGGTGGGGGGGACAGCCCGTGTTCACTGGGTGCTGGGCGCTGCTCAGGTGCTGGGGGGCAGCAGGAGTGAGGCGGGGAGGGAGCGCACACCGTGACCCCCTCCACACGGTTCTCGTGGTCGCTGTCCCTCTCAGGAAGAAGGCCGGACTGGTCTGAGTGTGGCAGGCCAGGGCCCAGCCGGGAGTCACGGGCTCGAGGTTCCCCCGCGTGGGCAGAGCCGGCCTGGGCTTGGAGGCTTGGGTTGAGCTGGCAGGGCCCACCCTGGTCCTGGCCCGCGCCCGGCACCGACAGTGCCCGGGAAGAGCCCCAGTGGCCCTGGATGTTGGCAGCCCAGGGGATGACGGTCCCCTCCATGGTCTCCCCACCCCTGCCAACTGCCACCCAGACTCAGCCCCCACTCTAAGTGGGCATGGGTGGGCCGCAAAGGCTGGGGAGGGTCTCGTGGCAAGAGGGGCTCCAGGTCTGGTCCTCTGGGCCCCAGGGCTAAGCACCCCAGGAGGCCCAAACCCTCAAACAGCATCCACTCAGCGGTGCCTCCAGGCAGCCACTAGGGGGCAGGGACGAGCCATGGTCCTGCGGGCGGCGACAGCAGGTAGAGGGCTCCGGCTGGGAGACTGGGAGGGGGCCCGACGATGTTGGGGGTGCCAAGCTCTGAGGACGCAGCAGCTCGGCCAGCATCCCCCTTCCCCCAACACCAAGGGTAACGGGAATGGCCATAAAGAATGACTAAGCTCTCCAGACAGCAGGAGGGAGGAAGTGGTGCGTGCAGGGAAACTGAGGCACTCCAACAAGAGGAAACAGCTCCCACCGCTCCAGGGGGTGCATGGGGAACCCAGTTTGAAAAGCACAGGTCTGGCCCAACCCCCTGCGGTGGGGAACCTCAGGCCCAGAGAGAGGAGGGGCCAGCATCTGGTCACTTACCCTGTTTGTTGTGAAAGCCAGCCCCAGGCCCCCGGCTGCCATGCTGGGGCGGGATCCGGCTCCTCAGGCCTCCTCAGCTGCCCTCCCGCCCCACCTCCCAGTGGTCGCTGGTCACCATATGTGGGAGTGTCCTGGGGCAGCCGTAACAAAGCCCACAAACCAGGGGCTTCAAGCAACAGGAATCTACCCTCTCCCGGTTCTGGAGGCCTCCAGCCTGAGCTCAAGGTGCGGGCGGGGCCGGTTCCCCGGGGGCTGTGAGGGAGGATCTGGTCCAGGCCTCTCTCCAGCTTCTGGCGTCGCCAGGAATCCTCGGTGTTCCTCGTCTTGGAGATGCGTTGCTCCAGTCGCTGCCCCATCTTCCCTTGGCTTTCCCCGTGTGTCCCACATCCCCCACTCCTCTCTGTGTCTCTGTGTCCCCTCCTCTTCTTAGAGGATACCAGTCAGATCCAGGAGGATCTCACCACAAGATCCTTAAGTAAGTACATCTGCAAAGCCCCTATTTCCAAGTAAAGTCGTTCTGAGGTTCCAGGTGGACCTGAGTTTGGGGGGTACCCTAGTCCACCCCCAGTCGAGAGGTCACGGGCCTTT